ATTTCCTACCCGATAACAATTTCCAGCAGGAGTCCAAATATACTTAAACACCCATATATGTCATTTTCTTTTACGGAGACAAAAGCAGGCACAGCAGGAGCGTTTTATGCTCAAGGCGCAGCCGCTTATGACGGACTATCTGCTCTCCAGATAGAGGGGTGAGCCGTCCACTTAGAACTGGTGATTTTTGCAAATCCATTTTCCTGTCACGCTATTACTCCTGTGACTTTCAACAACATTTATTTTTCCCTCCAAGCAATGTGCTCCCATTGTAAAATTAAGTCTTCTTACATGTGTTAGTGGAACCCCGATGTTTAGGCTTCCTGGCAAGCTGCTGGGAAGTGCTTTAATGGAAAGATTGCTCAAGAAGTGCCTTGGGGTTCTTTATTAATACTAATTAGAACATTGATAGATTTGTCTAATTATTACCCACATCAAGGTCTCCTTAGGAGGGCAGCCTCCTATTAATTTCTGTGTGAGAATCGTGCTAAATATCTACTGTATTCAACCAACCATCCATTCTTGAGAAATTCCAGGTCTTTCTTACAAAAATCCCAGAATTAGATAAATAAAACTCCCTGAATGCATCCTTTTTCTGGATATCTTTAGAAATGCTGAGATAGAAATTTAAGCATAAGAAAATAAAGATTAGTTACGCCACATTGTTACGCTTGCTATTGATCATTGAGAATCCTGTGTCCATCTTCATTTTGATGTCTTCTATGAAATTTTTTCACTTTTAATTTCTGTCCTGACAATCTTTTTTTTTTTTCGTTAACACCATCATGTATGTATTCACTTCAGGCTCCCCAGTCTTGAATTAGTACCCTGAAAAGGCAATTGTGTAGGTATGGAAACATCTCACTCTGTTTGACCTTCCATCTTCTCTTAGGGGTGGAGGATCAGGTAGAACTGTAGGAGGTGGAATCCAGATCTGGGATCTGTCATCCCACAGAGTTCAATCCCTTCTTTTCCCCTGACATTCTCTGGAACTTTGAAAAAGTTTCTGTGTGTTTTGTCCCACTTGCTTATGTAATGGAGATGACAATACAATTGCCATTTGTAAGGTTCCAGTGACTAGTTAACTCACAGAAAATTTAGGGAGGGTTGGCAGATAATACTAAAAACACTAGCCATTTTTTTTAAACTGTCTTGTTATTGCTATTTAGTCAACTCTAGACAATGTAAACTAGCATTCTCCAGTTTGATAGGTTATCCTTCTCATTTTTTTAATGCAGTTTAAAAACAGACAAAAGTGGGTAGAAGAGATGGTTCGGTAGTTATGGGCACTGACTGCTCTTCCAGAGATCCTGAGTTCAATTCCCAGCATCTACATGGTAGTTCACAACCATCTGTAATGGGATCTGATTCTTTCTTAGGGTGTGTGCGAACACAGAATATTAAATAAATAAATAAGTAATTTTTTAAAAAGTAAATATTAAAAAAAGACAAAAGGGAAGAGAAGGTATTATTTTTTTTATTCAAAATAGACATCAGAGTTAGATGGTGTAGGCTCAAATTAATCTAGCTATCACTAGAACCTTAAAGTAGCACACATTGTATTTGATTTGTCTTGACCTCAATGTTAATATCTTTTAAACACTATTCACTGTTCCCATTAATAAGGTTGGCAAATTAATCAATAAATGACTTAATAATTATAAAGTTTTTAGAATAATGGCTAATAAAATCTAATTTTATCAATAGTTCTTTTTTACTCTAAAGTGAATAATTGACTTAAAATTTATGTTCAATAAATTAAAGATTAATCATCAAAATGGCTAATATATTAAATTATAATATATTATATTTGATCATATAAGCATTTAAAAATCATGAGACCAATTAGTTTAGTTTTGCTATTGCTTTCAACAAAAAATCATTTTTTTTTATAAAATGAGTAAGCTTGATTGCTTATTGGTCACATTGGAACTCTTACTCATTCGTATGAAACAAAGATTTTTTAATATGTACATATAAATTGGAAAAGTTGTCATGTAGTTTCAACACTTCAGTGTCAGAAATAATCGTGCTTTACAGCAACATGGCAGCCAGAAAAAAAAAGAGGTGTAGAAATATCAACTTTAATTAAACCCTTTCTTTCAAATACACTTCACAGTTTACATGCAGGAATAATTTATCACCTTGTGAATGAACACTTAATACTTGGCATGATACAAAATGGGCAGGGACCTTATACCATATGTTCTCTCTTTTCTCTTCTTCTAGAATTTCCAAAGAGTTAAGTCTGAAGTTCAAGTGTGTGCTTGATCTCTTATACTGAGTTGCTATGGATGGCCCCTTTGAACTTAGGTCCTAGAAATGTGTAGTAAATACAAAAAGCTACCAGTTAAAGCCTTAGCATCCGAATCAGAAGAGATTCTCTCCACAATCATTCATCAAAACCCTAATCACATATAAGAAGATGGAAGCCATTGATAGAAAATTTCATTCAGGACTTTCATTTCATTGATTAGGAGGCAGAGGGAAACTGCAGAGCTTCAGGTACAAATCAGTGTTGGAGTCTCGTTTCCTCAGTTAAGCCAGACTTCTCTCTGTTGCTTACTATGGCCCCACGTTAAGATCTTCTCCTGCTCCAGACTTCTCTGTGCTTTGTTCACAGAAGTGCCTTGGACGTGCTGCAAGAAGCACTTTGTGGATCATTAAAATGCTAGTCAGGGCAGCAGAGATTTCTTAGTGATTAAGAACATTTGCTTATCTTGCAGAGGACCTGAGTTGGGTTCCCTTCCCTCCTGTCCAGCAGCTCACAACGACCCAGAGCTCCATCTTCAGTGGATCTGTTGACTTCTGGCCTTGTGAGCATCTGAACTCATGTATACCATTACTACAACAACAACAATGACAAGAATAGCAACCTTTTTCAGCCCTCTCACACAGACACACACATAGACACAGACACACAGACACACACACACACCCCTCCCACACACAGTCACACACAAACACACAGACACACACACACAGAGAGAGACAGACACATACAGAGAGAGAGAGAAAGATAGAGGGAATGTCAGTTAAAAAATATAAATATATTGAAATGACGACTGCTGGTGAACAATGAGGTTGGCGTGTGACAGTGAAGTCTCTTTAACTTTCATTCCTTCATACTGCATTTTACATTTCAAAGCACCTGTATACAAGAAATGCTAAAGGCATTAGCTCCTTATTTCTTGAGAAGAGACGGGAGTAACCCTATGGAGTTCTATTTGGTTGATAGGAGACACCTTTAACTTTGCATCTGCGGCATGTCTATATATTATCTTGGCCTAAGACAAAGACCAATGATGTGAAAAGGGCAACTCAGACTACCAAGAGAAAAAAGGATTTGCTCTGTGAATAAGAAGTCTACCAGCCCTCTTATGCTCAAGACTACTAAAGCCAAATGGCTACAGGGAATCCTGTAAATTTCCTTCCTTTCTCTCTGAGCACTTCCCTGCCCTCTCTTTGTCATCTCCAGTTTCAAGGCACATGTACGCAATCTGGTGAGCAACAGTGACAGGCTTGCATTTTGCCACCCTGGGAAAATAGGAGGAATCTATGTTCTCACTCTGTGTTTATCTATGGGTAATGGGTTAAGAGAGAATGTGTTTGTTTCTGAGAACACCTGGATTCTGATTACCACCAACAAGAAGCAGATACTTCTACCCAAGGAAAGATGAATTTTAAGTGGGGTTGGGGGAGTAAGCAAAGAATGTTATATAAGGGGAAATTTATTTTGGGTACCAGAGTACTGAAATTCAAGAAGGCTGGGTACCTGAGGGACTCCAGGTCAGATAAATACAAGGAATTTGGGAAGGTAAACTATACCAGTGGCTCCATCTTACTGCTAGTGAATAGGAGCATGATAGTTGGGTTTGGGGAGGCAATATGCTGCCTGTTACAGGTTTACTATTCAATTTTTCTTCTTGTGATTGGAGTGAAACTGTGAAGAGCATCCTATGAAAAGCTGTCCAGTGAGATAGGATGCTGAGCTGATGAGGCAGACGTCAGACCATAAAAGAATGAATTGATGCTGTGGCTATAATTGACTTCAATAGCATTAATAGATCCTCCAGTGAGTCAATGAGAAGTTGACCTATTAGTTGACACTGTAGTGTTAATTGATCAACATAATTTAATTAATTGATTCAGAAAGCTCAATGAAGACTTGACCTTTTAAATTTTTTCTCTATAAATACAGCACCTCCTTAGGTAAGGCTGTGCTGGAATTCACTATGAAAGTCAGATTAGATCAAACTGGCCTCAACTTTCTTTAACTTGGTGTGATCTTTCTGTGTCTATCTACGGAGTTCTGGATTGCATACCTGTACACCACCCACAACCCAGATACACATACCTTGATCATTCATTTCTTCATTTTCTTTACTACCATAATTTCTTGAGGTCTAATTTGTCCTCCCTTCCTTCTCACAGTTTGTGGCATAAAATTTCTCTTATTTTCCATTTGTGCTAAAGTCTTGGTTTATGATGTGGTTGGCCAACTGGAATGTTTGGGGTATTATGGTGTTTTTCTCATGGTATCCTATATTCTCTATTCATAGCATAGAAGCTTTTGCTTTAGTATTCAACCCAGCCACCACATTCTTTAAGCATCCTCTTTTAACTGTGCTGGCCTCTGACACCCTTACTGTGAATGCTGTGTTACTCTCCTAGGCTTCCTCAATATCCCCAGTTTATCTAAGCCATGAACATAGCCAAGCACACTTAGGATCAAGGAATTATTGAGAGTTTCTGTGTTCCAGACACTATGTTAGGGGCCTTCTAGTCCCTATTTTTCTCTTGATCTTTGCAGCAATTTTTCAATGAATACTATTCTTATCTGCATTTCTGAAATGAGCAAGCTGGGTTCTAAGGAACCAGTCAGCTTTCCCAAAGCTGACAAGTAGTACACTGACATTCAAACCAACTTGTTTGCTAAATGAAAACAAAACGATAGGTGGATGAAGGCTGCAACTAATCAAATCTCTCTCTGTTTGCAGAAGCTGACTGGGGAAGTGAACAACCCTGGTGTGATGTCCTCAGTGAGTGAAGATATTCCATTCCAGAGGAGGTCGACTTGACACATCAAGGAGGTCGCCATCTGAAAGATTACCACTCTGTTGGTATAGGGAGTGACAGCTGCATTCTCCTGTGCCTACTGCATAACCAAAAATGAAGGAGAACTACTGTTTACAAGCTGCCCTGGTGTGCCTGAGCATGCTGTACCACAGCCAGGCATTTGCCCTGGAGCGAAGAAGCCACCTGCGACCCTCATTCCATGGACACCATGAGAAGGGCAAGGAGGGGCAGGTGCTGCAACGCTCCAAGAGAGGTTGGGTCTGGAACCAGTTCTTTGTGATAGAAGAGTACACCGGGCCTGACCCTGTGCTTGTGGGCAGGGTAAGGCTGCTTAGATTCGATGTTGATGTGTCTATATGTGCTCATTATCAATGCAGTAGGACTTGAGCAAGACAAAACGAAACAAAACAAACAAATAAAGAAAAAAGACAAAGCAAAGATAGGCAAACTAATACACAGACCAAAGCAAGACAAAATAAAACCAATACAATGAAACAGAAACCAAGATAGCACGAATGATCTGCTATCATTAAAAAGATAATCATCATGCATATACCTGTCCAGTCTTTTTCTCCTCATTCATAGACTTAACCACACTAAAAATGGTTCTAATGTTCACTTATTATAGGATAGGGACTCTGTTTTGACTAATCACTTTGTAGTCTATTAAAAGAAATACTGCCTTAATTTATTAAACCATTCATTAACTGGAGGAATTTCTATGACTATATCCTAACCCCAACTTGCTTGTCTTCACTTTTATACCCCTATGCCTTCCTAGTTCCTTCCACCATACTTTTCTTGGCTGTTTTACTCATGTCGGTCTCTTTCACAAGATTTTATTCTACCTTATTAGAGGGATAGATTAGCCTTGAATCCTCACATCTTGGTACTAACACCAAATCCTAGGAAATGAGTGAATATGTGTCTTTAGAATAGGAATGATATTATCTATCTTGCCTTGAGGTATGGTTATGCTAGATTTCCGCTTCTAAGGTTATGCATTTGTTAGGCAACCCCATCAAAAATATAAATGTAGAGAGGGTAAAACACATTTGGCAACCTGACCCCTTACAACTTATTAGTAAAAAATATGTGACTGTCTTTTAGGGAATACTGACATTAGTTCTCAGGAGGTAGTTATTTTAATATACACAAATTGAAGCCCTATTATGTTGAAGTGGGAGGCAGACAATAAATCAGGTTGAAGCAATACCTGACCCCAAACAAGCATAATAGGAGGCAGCCACTTATTCATTTAAAGGGAGAAAAAAATAGATATAATGAGGAGGGTAATGAAATTCAATTTATGTCCTTAACTCTTATGAAAAATAGAGGCAAGTATTTAATAATCCCTGACCTTCAAGTTAAACAGAACTGATTCAGTATAGAGAAATGCAAGGACAGATGATAGAGATGTCTACTTTAGAATCCCAAGGATGCCAACGAAGTTAGCTTTGTGTTTTATTTTTAATATGAAACAGCAGTCCATTTTTTATATCATTTATTTTTGTACTCAGCAAATATTCATGATAATCTCATCATAACTTAGAATTGAAAATATGTTTTTAGAAATAATGTACTAAATAATTTCATTCATGTATAATGAATGAGTGAAAAAGATGTAGCAGTAGTAGTCTTGATAAAATGGAAGTACAGGAAAATAATTGACCGGCAGAATCCAGAAACCTAAGAGTTGTGCTGTGTCCACAGAAAAGGAGAGGAAAAAGACAGCCCCAGTAAAGCAGGGCAACTTAGCTCAAGCAATGTGCAGAGCTGGGCATTGAATTGCTCTGAGAAAATGACCCTCTGCTTTGTCACTGTCTCAGTGGGGGACAGTGTGTGTTTAGACTTGAAGGTGGCAGGGGGTACAGGACTTAGTGAGCCAGATGACTTTGTGTCTCTCTGGATCTAACAAATGTCATATGATGCAGTAGGGAGAAAACAGGAATAAAGAGGGGAAGGGAAACTCTGGCATCCTCCCGTGTATGACCTTGAAAAGTAAGGTTCCTGAAAAGAGTCTTAATTGGATTGAAGTTTGTGTGTGTGTGTGCTCATGCATGCAAATGTGTATATGTGCCTCTACGTGTGTGTGTCCCCACATGTGTCTGCTTAGATCAGGCAAAATCTTCTTTTTGAAATAGTACTAAGATGATTCCTGCTTAAGTAGGAGGAATCGTTGGCTTGTTAACTAACAATCTTTGAATGGTGACATTCAAGGTTGAATGCTTGAAAATTCCCTGAAAAGGTAGAATTTGGCAAAGCACAAAAGACTTACAGTTTTCATGTAGGAAATTCAGTCTGTGTCATGCTGTGCTGTGCAAAGAGAGAAGCAATCAGTTTTTGGAGTCGGGAACTGGCTGTGCATGCCTCAGCAACTGGACCCTTGATAGCACTATGCTGTGTTCCCAAACCGCTTTTGTGTGGAACCTAATAAATAGTATTGTCAGTACAATAGATCATCTTTGTGACAGAGGAAAACTAGCAAGACATATCCAACTTTTAAATCTTGGACAGAGGAGAAACAAAGTGGAAATAGTATAAGCAGGACGCTTGGTAAAAATATGACTAGTTATGAAATGCATCTTTATGTTTTTGTATGTAATGCATAAAGACCCTTTGAAACTTTCAGTACCTTGACATTTATAATAGTTGCATCTTCATTTCTTGTTCACGGGACTTAACCTTTGATATCCGTGAAGCACAGGGAAAGAACGAACCTCACAATCCTAGGCTGGATAGGAGAGGGGAAAACAGGCCATGAAGTAAACACCACGAATGTTGTGGATATTCTATTTGTTCACTGAAATCCATCAAGTAACTTCCTATTACCCTCCACAAATGGCCAAACTCTTAAGAATTATGTCAGTCATATTGCATTAAAAATGATAGATTACTTTTCCTTCATTTCAGAATCAAAGTTTTCTTACTATCCTTGCCCCAGAAGCCCTGGTGTACACAACTAAAATGGTCATCGTTTATGCCTATGTTATCATGTTGGAGCTGAAATTTTTGATGTTTCACCAAAACACTTCAAGTAAATTAAACATTTAAGAAATTTGAATGGTGCGAACATTTTAAAAAGTAGCATACTTAGTATTTCCTTGAATCTCGAGCGAACTGTGTAGGCCTTGGTTTCATAATAATGATAGAAAATTAGCTGACTGTAATAAAATGATATTTACAATATTATTAAAGTCATTAATATTAAATATAATTAGTAACAATCTTTACTGCAGAAATGTTTGAATATAAGTTTTTTGTTTGTCTGTTTTATTTTGCTGAACTTCCATACACAATAGGTTTACGGTTTAATCAATGGATATCTTTAATATTTTTAGCTATTTTTCAGTACTATAAGACAATGATAATAAGATTCATATAATAGCATTCATATATTGAACTATTTCAAACCATATAAGAATTGGATATAACAATTAAAATAGCATTCATATAAAGGAGGTTAAGGAACTCAGAAATCATGAGAACAGAAGATGAGTGCATAGGCTTTAGTGCTGCAGGAAAATCAGTGATTTCTTTGATGGGCTTGGGTTCTGAAACAAAGAGCAGAATTCAGGCGTAGTTGCTAGTAGCAATGGTGGCTAAAACACCATAGTAGATTCTTGACCACAGAAAGTATAGATTTAGACAAAAATCATCTTGTCTATAGGCTTTCTGGAAAAATGTGAAAATCCCAAGGATATTGGAAATTCTTCACGGGCCTGGGGACAATATGTCTATCACTTTGCACCACCATCCTTTATGACCATAGGGTCTTAGTAGATTTTTCTCTCCAAAGGATAATAGATATACATTAGACTCCGAATGTCAAGCATTAGAGCTAGAAACGTCTGCTTAGTTGAAGGATTTTCAACTGCCTGGACAATGCAAATGTCCTTTGAAGAGGATTCTCTGCAAAAATTACACTAATACCACGTGGTGGAGGAGGAAGCCCTCTGTACTTCGATGTTGAAGGAGCTGTAGAAGTTACAATCAGAGGAAGCTACAAATATAATATACAATCTATAGCCCTGTATTATGTAAAATTAGCAAAGAGCATTTAAGAATCTGTGGAGATAAGTTTGTACATGTATAGGCTTGTAAAGGGGTCACAGGAAACTGGCAAAGATGTGACTCGTAGCTGAGGAAGGCGATGAAATGGGAGTAAAAACTGAGAGAAATATACAGCATAAATTTATGTTTACATCTTTTCAAAATATATATGTGCGTTTCTTTCCAAATAACTATTGAAGCATACGTGAATATATGTATTTTGCATGTATGCATATATACAGTCAAAGAGAGAGGAAGAACATGAACCTCAGAAATAAACATTTGCATATATATTAGCCTCATCATTATCTAGCTTAACGACCTTGGCTATAGTAGTTATTTTAAGACTCCTTTTCCCTATTCAGAAAATGATGATGGAAATCACTTGTCTCATGATATATGTGTGAGTGTATGTATGTGCACACATGTGTGCATAGCGTAACTATCAGCCTATGTATTTTTACTGTGTTCCTCATGAAATTACAAATCGTGTTTTCTATCTTTCTTTTCTCTTCTTTTTTTTTTTCTAGCTTCATTCTGACATTGACTCTGGTGATGGGAACATTAAATACATTCTCTCAGGTGAAGGAGCGGGAACCATTTTTGTGATTGATGACAAATCAGGGAACATTCATGCCACCAAGACACTGGACCGAGAGGAGAGAGCCCAGTACACACTGATGGCTCAGGCGGTGGACAGGGACACCAACAGGCCACTGGAACCACCTTCAGAATTCATTGTTAAGGTCCAGGACATTAATGACAACCCTCCAGAGTTTCTGCATGAAACCTATCATGCCAATGTGCCTGAGAGGTCCAATGTGGGTACGTAAGTAAGAGTCCCCCGTTCACCTTCTATCTGGTATCTCTCCAGGTTGGCAGGCTGGTGCCTACCCTCCAACCCAGGAAATGGAGCTTGTTTTGCATCTTTATTGCACATTAGCAAGGAAAAAATTCTTTTGTTGGACATTTTTAAAAATTAAAATAGTTTTTTTCCTTACACAATATATCATGATTATGGTTCCGTCTCTGTCCACACCTCCCAGTTATTCCATACATATCCTTCTGTCCAGATCTACTGTCTTTCTGTCTCCAAGTAGCAAACAATCAGACTTCTAAAAGATAATAAGAAAAGAAAATATTAGATTTTTAAAACCTAATACATTGACCAAAAGAAACAAACAGAAAGGAATGACCTCCAAGAAAAAGTGCATGAAACAGATATAGACATAGAGACTCAGATTTTCAAATGTTTATAACAGACTTGAAGATGTAAAGTCAACTATTAACGTCCTATTGACTAGGAAGAATGGAAGGGGGAAGAATGAGATTCAGTTTAGCATATCCTGACTTGTCATGTTCAGCTATGTGAAGTGACACCATTTAATATCTTCTCTTCCTCTGTAGAATAGGAGGAACATTTCCAGTCTTCAAAGAGCAATGATTATATTCATCCAATCACTAGGGCATTGATGTTGAATAAGTAACAGCAATGATAATGTTTGCTGCTTTGAGCTTCACATTAATTGATTGTGAACACACACACTCCAGCGTATTTAACTTGGCCATGATTAAACTTTTCAAAGCAGTCATTCCAGTTGGTCATGTATAAATGAGAAACCAAAGCAGAAACAGATTAGCTAATTAGTCCAGGGTCACTTGTGTTACTAAATTCACCCAAAATGTGTATAGGGCTGCCATCAGCTGATGATTTTAAATATACTTAAAGACATATTGCTTTGCTTGAAGATGGAACTCTAATATCTGACTCCTTGTGTCCCTTCTGCTTAAATTTCTAGAATGTGGTCTTTTGAGTGACTCTGATCATTGGCCCTGAGTGAAACTGAAAGTCATCAGGGGTGGATTGTTCGTTTTATCAATGATAGAAAACCCAAGCACTGAATATAAAGATTAGCTTACTCAAGAGAGTCAGCTGTGACTTTAGAGCTCTGGGGGATTTCCAGTCTGTGTGTGGAGTCTCTTGTGACAGAATTACCATTGCCCTTCATGTCTGCTAAGATCTTTTTCCAAGAAAAATCCAGGCTGACTCATCATCTTCTTCCTTCCCCTTTACTTGTTCTTGTCCGGTCTCTTGACTACTCTATCCTCAGATGTGATTTCTAATAAGAAGAAAGGATGGAAGAAGCAGAGGTACATAGGCATTGAAACTGATAACCCAGACGGAGTTTTGCTTCTTAAAGGACACTTTGGAACCTAGGGCAGTGCTCAGACTTCCTACAGTAATTTCTATGAAATTATTGTCTTTGTCATCAGAAAGCTATGTGAATCAGGGCTCCTTTGTATCCCTTCCTAATTTATCATTTTGTCAATTGTGAAATCAAGGTAACAGTTGCTGATGAGTTCTGAGTATATAGGTCAAATAGAAATATTTGACAACTGCTTCACAAAAACATTTTAGAATTCCATGAAACCATAAAGATTTATAACTTTCTTAGACATTCCATGAAGTCTTTCTCTGGTATAACACCCATTTTCTAGAATAATCCCTACCTTGTAGGAAGAAGGTCACAAAAGCTAGTGGGTATGGAAAATCGATTTTTGAAAGAGTGAACATTGCCTTGGGTTTCTCATAGAAGTCACAGAAAACCTTAGGAAGTAAGGGATAGTTACCTGAAAGTTGTGTAAACAGGTTCTGTACTCTGCCAGGAGGACCTCCCTCCCACCATTCTGCTGAAATGTCAAAGGAGAAACTTGGGTTTCATTCTTGCTAGATCTCCCAGCAAGTTAGACTTCCAGCTGTGACAATAAACAACATGAAAAAGAGATTTTAAGACGTCACATTTCTCATCCCAAATCTTCCCAAAGTAAAATAGATGCCAAATGTCCAGCAGAGAATGATGGCACTTTAACTGGGATTTACCTCAAACAGTTCCTGACAGAGACATCCTGGATAATTGCCTTTTCCCTCCTCTCCTCTCTACACTGAAGCTCAACATGCCATGTCCCAGATACTTATTGTGACAATGGAGCTTATAAAGAAAATAAATGGCAGCCCATTCCTTTATTTTCTGATTTCCATTTCTTCTGACCTAGGAATATATCTTAGATCCTGTTGATCCGTCACTGCTATTTCTGTCACATGCATACCAGACCCTAAAGAGGAGGAAACGTGTAATTTTTATGACAGTAGGGAACAGCATTCTATATACTATTTATAGCCACAAATTAATTAAAATGTAGTATTAGCAGTAATTTTATTACATGCAAAGCAACAATTAAAGGATATGTTTATTGTCACAGATGGGAAAGGGCTCTCTATCCTCTCATGAAAAGCAATTCTTCATTAACTATCATTTATTGCACTCTCAGGAAAGATTTTTATTTAATTGGGTGATATCCTGAACATTTCCTTACCATAGTTCTAGGAATGTTTGACAAGAATGTTCATATTATTGTTATTTTAACTATCAAAGCAAGCAGGAAGAACTGTGAAAGTAGAAAATTTAGTTTTAAACCTTGAGGATCAGAAAAGAAAAGGAAGAAGGGAACTAGAATGGGAAGAAAGACAAGGAGAGAAGTGTTTTGCACTTGAATTATAGGACAATAAGACCGTACTGGACTAATTGTGAACTTTGTTTCAAGACTTAATTTTAAATGAAATTCTGTAAACAGCAATGAAATCTGAAAAATTTATCGGGTGTTGCTAATTGCTTCTCTTCCCTCCCCCTTTATTTAGGAACATCAGTAATCCAAGTGACAGCCTCTGATGCAGATGATCCCACCTATGGAAATAGTGCCAAGTTAGTGTATAGTATCCTTGAAGGACAACCTTACTTCTCAGTGGAGGCCCAAACAGGTATAGTAGATTGTATTGTCTTTGTGAGTCATGACTTATTATAAATAAAGACTCTATGCCTGCTCATTTAACTGCCTTGGCTCTAAAATCACTTAAATTGAAAAGGAACTAAAGGGTCACTTTGCAGACTTAGTTTGAGGCAAAGAATAGAGTAATACACATTTTTTTGTGTCTCAGATCATAATTACAAATACATAAAATTTCAAATTATGAATTGGAAATGTCTTGAATTGTGGATCCATATTAAAAGGGCCGGAGATTGTTACAAAGTAGTTTTAGCTTTTGAAATATCCTTGGAAGACCACTGAGTAAACTAAGAACTGTCAGGAGTAACTGTTAATGTTCACCTTACTAGAATATCCACCACATTCCCAATCTCCCGCTGTGAACATAGATTCCCAAAGAATGCTATAAAATGAAGAGCAGACCAATAAAGTGAGTCAATTTACAACAGAAACTCAATGTTACTCTTCATTTATACTAGATGCTATTGTCAACAAGAGTAAACACTACAGTCCTGAACAATTGCTCTTTCCCAGTAGTATACCTTTCCTTTTCACATAATATCTGTATTTTTGAAAGAGGTTGTCATACAGTTTCAACTTTTACATAATTTCCTAATTTGATACTTTTTTTATTTGTGTGATTAACTCTCACCTACTTATGTATCAATTTATTTTTCATCGCCTTGCTCCAAACAACAACTTGTGGAGTTTTTGTCTATGGTTTCATAGAGAACTTTGCTATTAGATATTCGGTAAACTAAGGGTAAATGGGAGATTTCATATAGAATACTGGAAATGGTTAAAACTCCAGTCTTCTTTGTCTCACGCAACCAAGGATAGTGACTAACAATTGAAACTCACAAAACTATCTAACCGGTAAGGAAAATGAGGTCTCAGAAGTTCTAGGGTATGGCAAGGAAACATCTCAACAATGGGCTCAGTGAAGTATAGCAAAGACCACCACCTCCTCCATGTTCTTTGTATTTATACTACAAACATTACTTTATTCATTGAATGTAAAAACTTCCATATGATCCCTAGAGATGTAAGTAAGCATATTTTTATGAACATCATGTTTCAATATACAGAGGTCATGAATAATTCCTAAATTTATCATTTTTCAGTGAGAGGTGGTTGTCGGTTGAATTTTTGTACGAGTTTTACTCATCTTTCTAACTAATTAAAAAATTAACAGTAGCGTTTTAATGTCTTCCATAAAGTTTTCGCCTCCTCAATAAACATAGCATGAACTGTAGAGATTCTTCTAATAGTTACATGTAAGACTTGATTTCTGAAGCTTTTGGCTAGACTTCGAGAAGTATAGATTCAGTTATGACTTAACGTATAATAGGCACTTGTCAATTCAGTCTTCAGGATTCTTGTGTCTGAGAAAGAAGGCATTGTTATTTGCATGTACAGTGAAAAACAAATACTAATTAATAAGTTGTAAGTATTTTTTATTATGTGCTTAATAATACACAGATCGTTTGGTTATCAGTGATTTCTGTTATATTTGCTACATTAAAATGACTTTTCTTTGAGCAAACAGACTATTTTTTAATGTATATTTAGCTCCCCAGGATCTAAAATATTCTTCTTTTTGAAATATTGTCATAAATGAATATCTGTGACTCTGTTTAATCGTTCACTTGTTAGGCATCATCAGAACAGCCCTTCCCAATATGGACAGAGAAGCCAAGGAAGAATACCACGTGGTGATCCAGGCCAAGGACATGGGTGGACACATGGGCGGACTCTCAGGGACAACCAAAGTGACGATCACACTGACTGATGTCAACGACAATCCACCAAAGTTTCCACAGAGTAAGGAGTCAGAGCTGGTCTTTGCTGTCTGCCACTGCTGAGTCAGATCCTCATGTTTTTGTTCACTTCTAATTTACCCAGCTTTCAAAAGGAAGAGTCTAGAAAACCAAGAACCATTTTTGTGATTCTTGCACAAGCCTAAAAAAAGATAACAACAGCTTACAAACACACAAAAGAAAGTTAAACAGTATAAAGAGCATGAGATGTAAGGAAGACATTAAAAACTGTATAACTCTAGAGACCAGAATATCTGCATCTTGAGGTATTTTACTTATTAGGTATTAATTATGAAAGGCAGGAAACAATTAACCATATCCTGTCTCAGTGTTCTTCACTGATGCTAACAGTACCATGATATGATATTTATCATTCCATAAAGAAACTGCCCCACATCTTGGTGATTGCAAATAACAGTCATTTATTTGTTTCTTGACTTTAATTTGTGCAGTGCATGGGAGAAATAGCTACTCTGTCATCACTCCAGCGTCAGCTGGGCACTGCTATCTGGGGCAAAAATAACTCACTTCTAAGATTCCTTATAAGACTGGCAAATTGAGATTGGCTTGTGCTTTCTCTCCACATGGGCCTTTCTGTGGCTGATTTCTGATCATGAGAACTCTGTGACCAGAGGAACCAACTATGTTGTGTTTTCTGTACTGATATCAGAAGTCACATGGCTTCTTTCCCAGAAACCTTAAGGCTGCCAGCATGGCAGTGAAGCTCAGGCAGACCAAAGTGTTCTATGTGAGGATCATGAAGTAATGTTGAAGGCCTATAGGATGAGAGTTATACTTGTATACCTTTAGAAGATGATCTTAGCATCTAATTTAAATATAATTCTTCTTTAGATTAATCCAGTGAATGCTGATTTTTATATCATTTGAAAAATGGCAATAATTGATCAACCATTGTGATTTTGATTATTGTACAATATTTATGAAATTATTGAGGGAAAATAAAATAACTTCACAGTTAAGGATATATACTGCTTTTGCAGAAGACCATGGATAGGTTATCAGCAACTATATTAGTGGCTCTGAACAGCTGAAATTCAGCTCTAGGAGGACTGGTAGCCTTCTTTTGGTCTCAGTTGTTCCTGCACTCCTTTGCACATAGCCAAATAAACACAGGCATATGCATACCTAAAAATAAGATACATATGCATACCTAAAAATAACATACATCTTTAACATTTTTATGTTTACTATTTTAAATTATGTGTTCATGAGTGTGTTTATGTGTGGATATATGTAGGTGCCCACAGAAACCATAACTGTCAGATTTCCCTGCAGCTGTAATTATGTGTGATTGTGAGCCAACTGACTTGGTTGCGAGTAACCAAACTCTGGCCTGCAGGCAGAGAAACATACACTCTTAGTCCTGAGCCATCACTCTAGCATCAAATAAAACAAATCTTTGGAGACGACAATATTGAAATATCGAAATTAATGATAGATGCTAATTGCACCATCATTTAATATCTGGTTACTAATGTTACAAATATCTAACAAGAGCCTATGTTTTATAGATATAATTGGCTCCTAGGGAAAGTACATTGAGGGGACTAAAGAATTTCTGAAATCATATTTTAACAGAAATATGTGTATGTGCAATGGGAAATACAGAGTTATAACAAAATCATATGACTCTGAGGTATCCAGTAATGACAAAAACACCCATGGCTCCAGTTACAGAGAGTCTGACACACATTCTGGTCTCTACAGGCAACCACACACACATGATGTACACTCAAAGACAGACAGACAGACAGACAGACACACACACACACACACACACACACCATTTAAAAATAAATGAGCCCATAGGAAGGCAGTTAAGTATGCCAGTTAAGGAGTCACTATGGTTATTCAAAGTAACCCAAGATAACAATCTACCAAATAGAGATATCAAGGTAGAGGATCATGAGACACATAATTAGCTTTTGAGGACGCCAAAAGAAAAGGGGGATCCTTGCTATTCCTGGTTAGATAGAAAATTGTGCATCTTTGATAAGATTGAGGCCCATACAATATTGTTAAAGCTGCCTATTTCATGTGGACAATGTATAGTTGCTCCATACGCCAGAAAAATAGGCAGACAGACTTATTCATGATGTTCATTAATGCCATTTCTTACGTAGAGTGGAATAGAAATTTTATATTTCAGTTTTAGTGTTTCACAGTCATGGACTTGAATGAGATTTGGAAAAATTACATTGTAACAGATCTTCTGAACCTTGTTATATTATACATTGTTAATTTCTACAGAAAGACACTCTCACTATGCCTTGACTGTGAAAGCAATACAAGATTGGGTAGAAAATGGGTACACTATAATCACGAAAGGAATGCTGAACTGCAACATATAGTGGCTATGGGAGGGGAAATGAAGAGTCTAGGGGATCCACCCAATGTCAGTGGGCTGAGATCTGCAGGAGAAGGCTCCACCCAACCATAGAGTGTCTTAGACAGGTTGCTTTTTAAGGGTGTCAGATGATGGTGCTACATCCCATTCCTCTACTGAAAACTGTCCAGTGGTTTCCCTAAATGAAACCCAGTATCTTGTCTATTTTTCATTAATGCCCTTTTATATGTCTCCTTTGTTCAGGAGTCCCACTCTTACTCCTATCCTTGCTATCCTGTACATTTTCAGAATCTTCCTACCTGAGGCTCTCTGACATTTGTTGATCCTTGTTCTGTGACACTTATTCCCCACATATTCACATACCTGTCTTGCTCGCTTCCTTCACTGGAATGCAGATTTATTCCAAAGGAAGTCTTCTGTCCCTATCCTGTCCAAAATAAATCCTGGTTTCCTTCTCATCCACACATGCTTAACAATTATATGTGTTCACTCACATTCGTCATCATAGAAAAACGTATCATACTCCATCTGCACACTCACTCATCTTCAGCATAATTACAGCATAATCACATACATAACTGCACACCCATGTGTGTAGCTTAAACACATCTTCATACACACACACACACACATACACACACACACACACACACACACACACACACACACACACTTCCCTTTATCCCTCACCAAATGATACTACTTAGCTGATAACATCACAGTATATCTAGAGATGTTTTGGTTTCTTTCTTATACCATATTAGCAATTATAGCTCTTCTTTTACTTAGTTTCAGAGCTAAAAGAATGTATAGCATTATTTACATTCATGATAAATACCATCAACATAAATATAAATGTGCACTGTGGCACCATTCTCATTTCTGAAAAACACATAAATATAAATATGGAGAGATTAGACTGTCTAAAAGCTTAAGGAGAATTCCATGCTTAGCCTAGTGCAAGGATGCAGAATAAGATAAGAGAGAAATATCTCTTTGCTAAAGAAAGACATATTCTTGAAAAATAAGATTTGTATTTGTCTCTAAAATAAATATGAAGGGCTGAAAGCTTTTTAAGCAGAGGGATGAATTTCCTCTTCTGTTTCTGTTTTTTTTTTTTCATGAGCAATTAGTTCATGGAATCCTTGGAATTAGTTTGTGGAAGACCCTGAAAACGAAGCCTTAGGTGTTCCAGTATGTGGACTCTTTCATAGGTCCTTGTCACTGCTTTCCTTCCTCTCATGTAGCTGGTGACCTCACCATCTCATCAGGACCCCAATATTGGTTTATCATCCTGTAAGGAGCACATTCTTCCTGCAAGCAGGCCGTCTGGGGATGGATCCTCTTCCCATCCACCCGCTTCACTTCTGTGTCTACCAATAGAAAGTTTAATTTTAAACCCTTTGAGAAATTTACTGGGATTCAATGAAATCTGAAGTCTTACAGCTGCCAAATAAAAAGGAAAATAAAAGTGGATGTCTTCTTCTTTCAGGCGTGTACCAGATGTCTGTTTCAGAAGCAGCTGTCCCGGGGGAGGAAGTAGGAAGGGTGAAGGCTAAAGACCCAGACATCGGAGAAAATGGCTTAGTCACATACAATATTGTTGATGGAGACGGCATAGATCTGTTTGAAATCACAACAGACTATGAAACACAGGACGGTGTGGTGAAGCTGAAAAAGGTAGGTTAGAGAAATCAGACATGTCAGTCATAAGATCTGTGTTGCCCAGGCAACCTAAGGAAGACAGTGGACTAATGGCTAAGAAATGTTGTCTATGAAAGACTGAGGTAGGACTTTATCAATTTGCTGCTAAGGCCTGAAATCTGAGGATATAAGAGAAATTGTTTTCATACTGGTACTGCAGAAAGGGCTGGCCAAAGAGTAGATTATACCTGCCTGAAGTTTCTGGCTTGTTCTTCTATATTTTGACAAAATTATCTGGTGGGAGAAACAACAAATTGAAAAGTCTGAGTTTTGGAAAACCAACTCTAATTTCATTGAGGTCTGTCAGACTAAGTTAGCTAATACAGAATATAGAATAGTCTTATTTTAAACATTGCTAGTTCATTGCACTGTGGGATGTTTTGTGAAATTTTAACTAATCTTCCTTTTACTGCTTTTTCAAATCTGAACTTGAAATAACAATAAAAATTCTCCTTCCTTATTAATTTAAACTCTCATCAGAAACAAAATACATCCCTGCATGAATTAATTATACAGAAGAGAATATTGTTTCCTTTTATTTAGTTTTAAATAAATCAATCTCATATTTACTCTGTAACGACTGCGGGGCAGAAATAATCCACCTTTCATTCATTTTTTTATCATGAGAAGTCATGAAATAAGTAGAGTGTTCCAATGATCAATAATTCTTTAACTTAAATTTTGTAATTGAGGCACAGACCGACTCAGTCACAGACACATAGACACATGTGGAATTCAAATCTACATGGTATTGGAAGCAATGTCCCTCTTAAGACATTTTAGAAGCAACTGAGCCAGAAAGTCAGATAATATTCCCTTTAACGTGAAGAAACAATTGCAGTACATTCTAAAGCTCCTTCCCTCCTGATTTACCACTTGAGAAATCAACACCTCTCCATCATCACAGTGTATGGAACATTAAATGTGAATTGGTTGAGGGGATTATCTTGGTTTTAATCAAGCATTCATTTTCTACTAGGTTTTTATAGTATGAATATTAAGCTTCTTGGTTTGAGAGAAAAAGATCGGATTGAGGGAAAAAATTAAATTGAAGAATCAATAAAGGAGTGAGTACCTGGAGAGGAGGAGAAGGTGGCCCTGGGGAGGTTATTTTTCAGCAGGGAAGCCTGTGTGACTGATATCTCACTGTAATTCAAAGCATATTGAGGGGAGTTAAACACTTAGAGGGCATAGAATGAAGAAAATGTAGGTGACATTGCAGAGAAAAAATAAAACAAGATCTCAGGTGGAAACTGAGGTAAAGATCAGATACGTGGAAAAGTCTCTATTCCTTACTAAGTTTCATGACCAAAGATGTCTAATTATCAGCCACAGGAGGATGGAAAACTGTTCTGTCTGGTGTCTCTTTTGGAAAGTAGCTTTGTGAACTGTGTGTAGCTGTCAACTTTCTTTGTTAATTAATATTACTATCCCTCCTGCATAACACTGACCCATGAATGTTGACATCAGTGAGCGATTCCTGCCTCCTATCATTGACTGCTCAAGTAATTGGATAGTTGGCTAGGAGAAGGTTGTCACCTGTTTCCAGTGTATTCGAGGCATAAACACATATGGTTCTAAAATCCTGAAGCATTTAAATCACCCCCATGAAACTCATACATGGCAAATGAGCTCTCTGCATATGATTAATTTGTGTACTTTCCCCCAATTCAGTTTACTACAGGCAGCAGAATAAGCTTTTACAAAGCAATGACATTTAAATTTAAAACAATGTAGGCTCATATTTAATTTGGAAGATAAGATTTGTCTTAACTTGTACCAAAAAGTTCCAAATGCTCAACAGAAAAATGAAATCAAAGTGAAACTTGTAGAATGAAAATGTTGAAATGTCTTTTGGAAGACATTACACATAATTTAATAATATTTAAAGATGTTGTAGAAATAGTTTTGTATTTTAAAGATTTTCTTTAATATACCATTTTCATTTACATCTTAATTCCGTTTTCTATTTTCTTCTGAGTTAATCAGTTGTAACCATTTTTTCAGGCAGGCTTTGGTAAAAGCTGGGAATCTAAAAGGTAAGAGATGGAGTGCTAGCCATAGGGAATCACAAATTAACAGGACAGTTTAGTAAAAAGTCACTGATGATCAGAGGAGTTTCCTCAGCCTTGGCTTTATTGATTCTTCAGGCTTGAAAAATCTTGGTCATAGAGGAATATTGAAGCAATATAAAACATTTTAAAGTTCTCAAACCTTCATCATGTATAAGTTCATAGACATGCACCTCTTCTCAACTCACTATCATGATAATGGTTAAAAATATTTTAATTTTTACCAAATACTTCTGATGTGATTAGGAGCATAATCTATCCCCCAGTTGAAAATTCACTGATTATGACATAATGAAGACACTGCAAGAATTTGCTCAGTAGGTCCACTGGAAAACTGTTGTCAGGGTTAAAAAAAAAGAGAGAGATTTCAAAAGCTGAAAAAAGGCTCAAGAATATGGAAGAAGATGCCAAGGACCTTCAAGATTTGTGGAGTCATGTTTGGGAAGAAGGGAATAGATTTTAAGTAATATCTTAAATGTTAACCACCCATCACCCATCCTCCCCATACAGTCAAAAGGACTGAGGTACAAGACCACATGGAAAAGTCATTCTAAAGTATCTGACAGACTAGATAGATCCCTTTTCAAAATACTTTTCAAAAAAATACTTTTCAAAATAATATTTGTCGACTTCTGACCCAGGTTCAGAGTTTCACGGGAAAGAAAAAACCCCTGTGTTCCAAGTATTTAACCGTTCTCCATGCAGTTCTGTAGAGAACAATGTAAGTACAGATTAATCTCTAGGTGGCTTGACATCTTTCAGGAAGAAAACTCCAACCATTTGTCCATTGTAGTATCATTGGCCAGGTAGAAATTCCATCCATTGTAAATAAATGCCAGCATAGCTTCTTAGCTGTTCTTTGCAACCAGACAACCTTGTGAGGTATTTTGAGAACAGCAATAGAAAACACTTGAAGCATTCCTTGTTTTAATCAAATGTTTTTATTTTATTTGGTTTGTGCATCTGTGCACATAGATGTGGATATATAATATTTTGTATGCTTCCAGTCATAGGGTTATCTGATTTGTAAACTTAATGTCAAACATAAACACTTTTACATGCTGTTCTATAACACACATAATCATTTTTAAGGACTACATTACAATCCATCCTATCGATGGACCATGATTTCCTTAATAAAATCTCACAGTTGGGTTTTCTGTTCTATGTGTACATTTCCCCAGATTAGATATAACCTTCTATTATAGCTAACAAATATTGTGCAGTTCCAATACTGTTTGTTTGCATTTTCTGTAGAATGAATCCCTAAGGGAGAATTTTCAGAGGTGAGGATTAGTAAGCTGCGGTGGGCATTAAGATTTTTATGGCTTATGCAGTGTGTCGCCTCATTTAGTTTTATTTCAACTATTCATAACATGGATATAAATGTCCACATGGGGGACTACCTCAAATCCTATTTGGAAGGAGAAAGGGAATTTATTGTAAGTAAATGCTTAAATGTTATCGAGACATTAGCCCTGCTGCTCATTCAGTAAAATGATTGATGCCTATTACTACAAGGGGCAGTCCTTTCTGGTTACAGGGAGGCAAAGATCAACAAGGCTCAGTGGATCCTTTGGAGATGCTCTACCATTAGCAGTGAAAGGAAGCTATGAGACTCCACATAGCTGTTTGGGGCAATTGAGTAGAAGTTCTCAAAACACCGATGTTGGGCTAACTTCCGGGGTACTTAATAGGGTTTCACCACTGTGGGAAAAGATATTCCAGACAAACCACTGCAAATACCTCGAGCTCATATTATCGAAAGATTTGGATCAAGCCAATGAGTTAGACTACAGTATGACCATGCTATTCAACACAAACAGGGCTTTCTAGTAAAAAATATATCTAGTAGGATACTTCTGGGTCCAAAAGGTTTTGCTCTAGAAATAGCAAACTTTTCTAATTATAATTCGCCTGGTCATGTTCCAATGTGTGATTCAGTTTAGACATTACAGAGATTTCTAGGAAGTTGCAGGAGCCTTGTATGGCTAATCTACAAATATCATTTTTTTCTCTTTCTCAACAATACGTCCAAGAATTTAGGAGCTTCCACCTGGGAAGATAGAATAATGCAGAATTAGAGGACAGGTTTATTAGTCGAATAAAAAAGGAGTGGTCCTTGATTTTAGGGAGAGGAAGATGGAAGGTAACAGAGTCAAGGATGCTGAATATGCTTAATCTTTCTGAAATGATGATGATCTTGAATCTGGAACAGTACAGAACTAGGTCAGTTCTAAGCCTGTGATTGTATATCCATTCGGAATAAGTATTTGCTAGGTAAATGACAACTGCACAGAAAATAGATGCCAGCCTTAAAAGATCAAGCTTATTGCAAATATTTGTTAGGTCTGCCTCATTGGAATATTACTTTGGAAGTTGTATCTTAGGTGTTGGGCTTAATATAGTTTTGTTTGTCACCCCTTGCTAGCTCTCTGTATTGTTTATTCAGAAATAAGGAGCACTTTATGACTGTGCCTATTCAAATGCTAGCTCTGAGTTGTTTTTCTTGTATAAAAGTATGTTCTGCTTATACTTGTTGTTCTATAAATGGACCATTTTGTCACATACGTGTTTTGACCAAAGGAAAGGTCACCTCTACTGTCAATTATTTAGCCTAAGAGGAGATAACCTCATAATGAATGCACTCAGAACAGAGCTATGACATGCCATTTTAGCTAGAAAGCTGTAAACATCTATTAAAAGGAGGACTGGGAAGCAAAAAAAAAAATTAAAATATTAGAATTATTCTGAAATGTCTTAGAATTCAAAGATTTGGAAAAGGCAAAATTATGTCAAAAAGTAAGTAGGACTGAAGAGATTTCTCAGTGGCTATAGCACTTGATGCATAAACAGTACACATGAAAACAGGCTTCCAGATCCCTGAGCCTTTAAAAACATGGGTTAGTGGAGCAGTCGGCCTGCAATTTACTTTTCTGAATGTAGAGACAGGAGATCCTTAGAGTAGGCTGGGTAGCTAGACTGCTAATAGGGTGTTCATGAACTCTGAGTTCAATTGAGAGGTCTTATGTGCATGCTTATGTACAAGATGAGGAAAGGTTGAGAAAGACTCTCCGTGTCAGCCTGAAAGACATGCACACACATACATATGCAAATCAAAAAAGGGAGAAAGTCAATTAGCATTATTGAAGGACTCCACCTACTCAAGTCTGTCTGTAAAGTACAATAAGCCTATGCGTATGCTGGTAAGGTGGTTGTCTTTGGGAAACACAATCTAGTCAAAAGTAAACAAGATAAATGAAGCCCTCATGATGATGAAGCTAGGACATTGTGTGTTTATGTAGCAGGCAGTATGGAACAGTTGTTTAATTATTAGTAGATTTGTAGCACTTCACAGAGAGGGCATCAAACGGATGTTAACTGCATCTCATTGGCTATTGAAAATGTGGTTGGCTTTATGTGGAATGTTCTGTGCTTGCAATCTTCCTTGCACTATATATACCTCACGCTTCAGCAACTTTTTGTCCTGATTTTCTGACCACATGGCTTACATTATTGGATGATAATCAGCATGAATTTTCTTTCTTTGAGAAACTGTTTGCTTCATTCCCTGTACCAATTAGGTCTTTATCTTCTAGTATTATTCAAGGAACTAGTTGCTAATCTTCTTTTTGTTCTTACCAGCCTGTAGATTTTGAAACCAAAAGAGCATATAGCTTGAAGGTAGAGGCTGCCAATGTTCACATTGACCCTAAGTTCATCAGCAATGGACCTTTCAAGGACACTGTGACTGTCAAGATTGCAGTCGAAGATGCTGATGAGCCTCCCATGTTCTTGGCCCCAAGTTATATCCACGAAGTTCAAGAAAATGCAGCTGCTGGCACTGTGGTTGGAAGAGTACATGCCAAAGACCCAGATGCTGCCAACAGCCCAATAAGGTACACATACATGAAATATTAGAATTATCCTGAAATGTCTTGTGATTCAAAGATTTGGAAAAGGTAAAATTATGACAAAAAGTATGTAGGACTGGAGAGATTTCTCAGTGGTTATAGCACTTGATGTATAAGCAGTACACATTTCATACAAAATGAACAGGGGGCATAATTTGTGATCTATACAAGTCATAGGGAAGCTCTGTCTAACCCTGCTGAGCACTCTGCAAAGGTAACAGAGTTCCCGTCACCCGAGTTTGTTGCTGTTATTCAGAAGCAGAATTCTGCTTCTCCTTACCACTGTTAACTAGAATTACTGAGCCAGGAGGTTGGTGATCAAAAGGGCAGAATAATTAGAATGAGGCAGAGGAGGGATTTGACCTACAGATATAAAGAAATTTATAGAGTGCAAATTTGGAAGTTGTGCGAAGTCCAGTTCCATAGACAGGTTATCTTTTGTGCTTTGCATGGCCACTTCTGTACTTTCCTTTTTCTATCTGTCTCCTCAGTATCTCTCTGCATCCAGACTTCCAGACATCATACTGATATCAATCTTTTAGCCAAAATGACTGCTATAAAATGCACATTCAAATATCTCAGGATGGAAAAGCAATGTACCACTCAGTAGTGAATTATCTCTCATTAATTTACCTTTCAATATAATCTACTGTTTTATTTAAAGATTTTGTTCAATCCCCCAACCAATCTAAGTCATTCTTTGAGGCAGATGTATTAACTCATAATTCCTACCCTTTATATGCTCTGTCTTTGGACTGAGATCTCTGCTTTGCAACTGCTGGTATAGTACCTATTATGATAATCTCAAGTAGGATCTTGCCTGTCTCATCTAAGGTTCATCCTTCAAGCCAAATCTAGATACAATATTTTCTTATCATTCTCTTTCTCTTTCCTTCTCCATATCCATCCTTACCACCTTTCCTTCATTGCTTGTTTCCTTCTGAATATCTCCATGTCGTAAAGTATTGTATACATCCTTTCAAAACACATAGGTATTTAGTTTCGCTCAAGTAAGCTAATGTCACATGTGATCTTAGAGTACTGGATGCTTCCAATTAGTATTTCTTGGAGAATCAATAACATTGTAGATTGCATCTGAAATTCATTTTGATTGCCAAATTATATTCTACTGTATGAATACCCAGTGTGTTTTTTTATCTATGTGTCATTTGCATGGATATTCATGTCATTTTAACTGTTGGATTTTATAGATATAGTTTCTGTTCACACCATTCCACAAATTTTTGCATACACGTATTGTCTTTCTCTTGGCTATGTAATTAGAGTTAAAATTGCTTAATCATGTAGCAACCCTGTGTTTAAATTTCTGAGCAGCTGCCAATTCTTTCCACACTGGCTGTGCTATTTTCCAATGGTGTCAGCCGTGAGGCTTATATCTTTTTGATTCTAGGTACCTTAATAAATTCCAAAACATGTGTCATGTTAGTTTCCTTGACAGTTATAGGAAGTGTCCATATAGATATCCATGAAGTAGCAGTCTATGTCTTTCTAGAGAATAAACAGCTGTTTAAATCCCTTTCTCATTATGCAATTGTATTAACCATCTTTTTATTATTGAATTATAAAAGTTCATTATGTATTCTGGCTGCCATAGGGACTTATTTGATTTGCAAATATTTTCTCTCATTCTGTGAGCTGCCTCTAAATTTTCCTGTTTCTCTTTAGAGGCAAAAATGTTTTTGATTATGATTAAGTCCACTCGTTTCCTCCTTGGTTGCTTGTCAGATTTACAAATTGTGGCCTTTTCTAGATAAACTCAAAAATACTTACATCTTTATTTTCTTTGAAGAAATTTTATAGTTTAAGATTTTTATTTAGATCTTTGAGTTATTTCAAATTGGTGTCTGTGTGTGATGTGAGAGAGAAGCTCATTGCATTACCATGCAGGTGAGTGTCCACATTCTGACTCTCAGATGGAGTTCCTTTTACATGTGTGCCTATCCACATGGCGGTGTCACACAATTTTGATTATTGTAACATTAGAAAAAGTTTCGAAGTGGAAACTGTAATTTCTTCACTATTTATTTGAATTATGTTTTATAAGAAAATAATAGTAACATTATTTTTCATTGTCTAGGATCCTTCCATGCTACAAAAAGCAGGGTTGAATTTTTTGACAGGGATCCTGTATCTTACAGAGTATAGATTGTTGGTTAGTCATCCTTTGCCATTGGATATTTATTCACCTGTGTTCTAAGTAATCATTGAATTCTTCCATCACTGTGATGCATATCCATGGTGGACATCTGTTTTCTGAATGAATAATTTAATGACTCTTACTTGCTTTAGTAAGTAAGACTCTTAGGCCTGGAAGTGATGACATTTCCTTCTGGTACTTATTAAATGAATCTGTATTCAGCTCATAACAGAATCCCCCAATATAATCAAATAACCCACAAAAAGGTCTAATGAAGGTTTCTACAATAAAAATATGCAAACAACCAACAACTATGTAGTACATACTGGGGGAAATAGCTCAGGCAGTCCTAGTCTTAAATGCATAAGGACCTGGATTTGTTCCTGAGAACCCACTTTTTTTTTTTTTTAAAGAAATACATCAGCTAGGCAGATAGTTTGGTGAGTGTGAGTAGTTCTTGTGCCACCACAAGGGCCAACATTCAAACATCCAGAATCCACACAAAATGTCGAGCATGGCTGTGTGCATCTGCAACCCAAGCAGGGAGTGGAGTAAAATCAGGTGGATTTCTGGACTTGCTGGTGTCCAGCCTAGCTCCAGGTTCAGTGAGAGTTGCTGCCTTAAAGGAATAAGGTAGAGAGAAATAAAGCAGGATATCTAACATTCTCCTCTGGCTTCTATACTCTACCTGTCAAACAGGCATATATAATACATGTGAAACTATATAGAAACATACAATGTAGAAAAGAGCCATCAAAACAAAACATATACACAAATAAATACACACACACACACACACACACACACACACACACTTGAATGTGGCAGAGTATGTTCCTAACTCCAGCATTAAGGAGCCAGAGGTGGGGGAAAAATTCCTAGAACTCACTGCTAAGCCAGCCTAGCTTATTTGCTGAACTCCATGGAAGGGAGAAATTTTGCCTTCAAAAACAAAATTGGCAGCCTTTAAGAAGGGATCCAGGGCTTCAGCTGAATATGTAAGAGTGGAGGGCCCTGCCGGGCACAGGTGGAAGATGAGACCCTTGACCTCATGAAGGCTGGATGCCTCAGGGGGTGGGAATTTTGAGGGTGGGGAAGTGGGAGTGGGGGAGGTAGGTGGGGGTTACATCCACGGAGAAGAAGGAGGAGGGGTAAGGGGATGGGGGGTTCCCAGGTGGGTGGGGGATGGGGTAAGGGGACAACATATGAAATGTAAATAAAATATCCAATAAAAAAAAAAAGAAATGGTACCTAAAGTTGTCCTCTGGCCTCTACATGCAGGTACACACATGTTGACATGCACACTCATAAATCTACATGCATGTACATGTACATTCTTAAAACACTTAGTTTATATTTAAAACAACCAAGCAAATGTCGATGAACACTGAAATTTAAATTTCCCCTTACCACAGCGAAAATGAGCAGTCTCAACCAGAAAGCAAAAGCCAAAGAAAAAAATGCAAGCAAGGAAATGAAAAACGAGAATTACTCATTTACTGTTGATAAGAATTTAGATTTGTACACCCATTATATGAAATAGTACTGGAGACTCAGGAATTGACAGTCGCACTACCATATGGTCTAGTACTATTACAAGTGTGTATCCATCTAAAAGAAATCAAATGTGTAAGTTGAAGTGACATCTGTACCTCCATGTTTATTGCAGGACTGTTTATAGTAGCCAAGATACAAACACAGTCTAAATGTCCATCCACAGATAGTGGATAAGAAAATGTATTGAATCCTAACAGCACAGAAGTGTTCAGGAGTAAGGAAAACCATGGAGTTCTATCATTTTCAGTTTCAGGAATAAAGATGAACCAGGGGGACATTTCCTTCAGTGACACAAGCCAGGGCAAAATCCCAACCAACTAAACAAAGCAAAAGAAAACAAATAGTGCATGATCCCATGCATATGTAGAATGTGAAATCTCAGACCAAATTGTTTTGAGTAGTGATGGGAGACACTGAGAGAGTAGGAGTGCTGGGGACATGAGAAGAGTTGACTCAGTAGACTTGACATTGCAGTTAAAGAGAAAGAGTAAACTCTAGTAAACAGTAATGTGGCCATGACTAACATTAATAACCTGAGTACTTTGCCACATATCCTGAACATGGTTTGAATGTTCCCAATGGAAGAAATGATAAGCTTAAGATGATGAAATGTTAATGATTTTTATTTGAAATTAGCATAATGTAAACATTTGCTGAGGGACTATCAAAATCATACAAATCTATAGTTCTTACACAAGAATAAAAGCAATTATCTCTCATGCAGTAACAAGAAAAAAAAGTACCAAAAACAAGGGGATGTAAATGTAAAGGAATCTGTAACAGCAGACCATGAAATATACACACTTTATTAAATAAAATGGGGACGCAGGGTGTAGTTCAGTTGGTAGAACTTACACCTAGCATACCTTAGGCCCTGGGTTTGATCCATCAGAGCATTTATGGAGTATAGAGGTGTGTACCTATAATCTTAGCACTCTGAAGGTAGTAGCTGAAGAATCAGATGTCCAAGGTCATCCCTTGGCTACCCATTAAATTTCAGCCCATTCTGGGCTACATTCCAATTAGTTTTTAAATGCCTGGATAGAAGATTTATGTGTTGCATTTTGGAGTACTATCCTTATTGATGAGAAATGTCATTTTTGAATTATTTTTTAGAATTGAAACAATACATTTAAGGCAGTTTTTTCTGAATCTTCATAGATCACTTTGAGGCTATGACTATTTCTGGAGCAGTTGATGAGGTTACTAATCTCAGAGGGAAAATATGTCTTGCTTAAGTTTAAGCTCATGTGACCAGGGTTGGAGACTAGCGTTTAATCCAGATTGATTTTAGCTTCAGTCAGCTCCCTTAGCTATAGGCCATTGTTAACAAAAACCTATTGCCCTTTACATAATGACAGAGGCGGCTTGCTGTGCCTTTGAACTACTTCAGTATATTCATAGTTGTGAGTTAATATAATTTATGTTTGACCTAGAATATCAAGATGTGCTAATGATTTTAAAAAAGAACATCAACATAAACACACATGGAACAACTACTTATTTCCCCTGAACTTCACTGTCTCCATGGATCCACATCTGCAATCCATTTATTTAAGCCATATTTTCAGTGCTAGCTGTTCTGGGCATGCAGGCAGCTTCCAAGTCTATAATTATCCAAAGATTCTCAATAACCAAATACAGCCAAGTCACTGTCCTTCCTACTTGAGTTCCTGTTCTTAGGACATCAGACAAATTACATGTGGACTTCTCACCACTTAAGGTTCTGGTTATTCTCTCTATCTTTAGAGATATTTGTGAAATTGGACATGAAATTAAGACTTTATACTACTATTTAAACACTTAAAAATTGTGTCTGTGTGTGTGTGTGTGTGTGTGTGTGCATGTGTGTGGTGTGTATAAGTAAATTAGGGGGTTATGTGTACGTGTTCTTTCATGATGGTGCATATACGTGTCTTCACAAGTACATCTACTGGTCAGAGGTCAACACTGAATGTCCTCTTCTGATGCTCTCCTCCTTGCTTTCTTTGTGAGTCAGAGTTTCACATTGAACCTACAGCTCTCCAATTGGATAGACTGGTTGAAGAGCAAGGACCAAAGATCTATTTGTGTTTGTTACCCCAATGCTGGTGTTGTAGTTGGGTGTCTCCATTATAGATCTTTCTTGGTGATGAGGATCTGAGTTTAGGTCTTCTTGTATATGAAACAGGTACTTTAATGACTGAGCCACTTCCAGTCATTTCACCAAAACTCTGAGCCTCATGCAAATTTGCAAATGCCTTTTCCAAGATTCTACAGCATTTGACACATTATTGGTTAGCATTTTATTTTCTTACTCAAAGCAGCATCTGTCCTTGGTCTCCCTGACATTCACTTGTTCTTGCCTCCTACCTGGTGCCTTGTTTTGTCCTTGATCACTTTTCCAGCACTAGGGGTTTCTCTAAGCCTCGATGTTTTGATTTCAAACTCTGTCTATGTCTATTATCCTATAGGATTATCTGTTATGTTATGATTGAATTGAGTTGGTACTTCATACTCTCTGCTTCTGGATTAATTTTTCTCCAGACTCTAATTCTGAATTTATGATAGTATGAGCTGTTAATTTTTATCCTTATTTGTTTCTTCTTCACAGGCTTAGTTATTTTTTGTAATGATATTTGTAGGCAGGGATAGGCGTATAGCTTTGAGGAGCTTAGCAAGCATGCATCAACAATAGTGATTTCAGGTTTCAATACTGTAGAAAGACAATAGAGATATCTCTGCACTCATATCCACTATGTCTTTTTTTGTTTATTCTTCTTACACAATGCCTATCCTCGGTCCACTCCTCTCTACACCCCTGCCCACTCCTAAGCTTTCTTTCAGATCCACTACTCTTCCACTTCCGTTTAAGAAAAGGAAAATATCAGGTATTCCGGTGAAATCAACCAGACATGGTATAACAAGATGCAATAACAAGGCACAAACCTTTATATCAAGGTTGGATGAGGTGATCCAGTATAAGGAAAAGTGTCCCAAGAATAAGTAAAAGAGACACTACCATTACCCACTGCCACTTTTAGGTGTCTGCCTGATGTTTGGCTGTAGGTCTCTGCATCTCCACCCATCAGCTGCCTGAGGAAGCTTCATTGATGATAAAGATTGGACTAGGGCTGGACACTGATCTATGAGTATAGTAAAACATTATTAAGGATTACTTAATGATTAATTAATTAATTAATTAATTTGCCAGTTGTATTTGTTTCTATTGTAGGTCTTTGGCTCACCTGGCTTTCTTTCTTGTGTTTTTTTTAATTACTTTATATATTTACATGTCAAATATTGTCCCCCTTCTCTGTCCCACATCCACGAGAGCCTCCACCCTATCTCCTCCCCTTTGCCTCTAAGAGGATCCTCTCCTACTCACTCATACACTTCCACCTCATTCCTTTAGCATCCCCCTTCTTTGGGGCATCATTCCTCCACAGGACCAAGAACTCATATAAAACAATCAAACTGCTGGGTGTGGTGGATCAAGTTTATAGTTCTTATCTTCTGGGATTTATGACCATGAGCCTTGCTTACTTGGAGAGCACTCCAGGGTAGCAGCAGATACTGTCCCAAAAACATGGTGTACAGTTCTTGAATATCAGTAGCCAGGGTTTTCTTTCAGCCTCTAATACACACATATATACAAATATCGACATTTCCACACATGTTTTTTGTGTATGTACAAATGTATAACCACCTTCTGCACCACTTCCATAACCAGAATCAGTACCATCACACTCCAATCCCTAGTTACATCCCTGATTGTAATAGGATTGAGTCTTTGCTCTCTTAACATTGCAACCTATTCCTAGTTGAACGTTACCATCTATTTTTTTTTTTTTTTTGGTGAATTAACTTGATTTTGTGTTTTCTCATAACTCCCTCCACACACTCAGGCAAGAATGTTTCCAAAACTCTGCTAGTCATCCCAGATGTGTAAATCTTTACTGACTCCTACTGTTACTGTTTAACACACAGTTTTCAATTCCTCTGGCATTTCAGTTGATATTTCTTTTATTTTAAAAACTACATCAAATTCTTAAATTTCCTCTGTTATCTTTTTCTCAGATCATCTTTCTTACACATTACCTGAATATTGTTCAGTTCTTCTGATTTCACTCATTTGCTTCGTTGCTTATAGGTCTTCCAATGGTTTTTCATTGGCTATAGAATGGAGGTTACCTCTGATACCCAAGAGCGTTCCTATTTTCTCCCCAGTATAACAGCAGCAGGAGCAATAACTAAAATAACTCCTCCTTTGGGTTGCAATACTTAATGTTGGTGAAGCATGAAGATGTCTCATCTTATTCTTGCATATGTTATAAAGTTAGGTACCTTGCTGTTCTAGTTTACACGTAAATATGCTGAAATTCAGAATTTTAAGTGACTTTTTCAAAATTATATAATTCTGATTATGTGCAATGCAAAATGAGTGGATTTAAGATTTTCCAAAATCCAGATCCATATACCATTATTGTATCTGTAGAGTAATATGTTGCCTTAGCATCTTGTCATTGCCCGTGTGTCATCATATTACTTAAATTGAAAGCTGCCTTACAGCAGGAAACACAGCTTCTGTTGTATATAGAGCTATCTACTGAAGACTTAGCTGCAGAGCTTCTCCTGGCTTTGAGAAAATGCAAGAGCAAGTTGAAGTTCATCCCTGGAATATAGGGAAGTTTATTTCTCTTAAGGAGTTATAATTCAAAGTATATCATGAATGATCTCATGTTTTGAATACTTAAAATGCTGCCAGATGAGTGACTGTCTTTCCTGGAAAAAAATGTGACTGATCTGAGATAAGAGGGACATTGGTTCTTCAGAAACAGGACATATACCATTTGTAAATCTCATCCTGTATACATTTGGGAGAGAGCAAGATCTTTGATATTCAGAATCCTTGCTTCCTCTACTTTTTTTTATTTTTAACCATTACTAGTGCCTTAAAAGAGACATATTCTATACATTTTAGGAAAACATAGCCAAAACATCTAATATCAGGAAACTATCCTCTTTTGAAGTTCAGCATGCTATTTGTATGGGTGTGATTTATCTTTGTTCTTCCCTTTGGGGTAGGTGGTAAAATTAACTGGTGGGACCATTCAAGCTTACCAGACCCATTAAAAATAAGACTCTAAAATGGACCAAGTCTGGCTATGCTGTTAGACTTCACCTCAAAGTCTCTTCCCCATCTTCCACCTGACCTTACATACAACTCCATACTATTCTGACAATTCTCCTGTCTTTTGTCTAAAAAGGCAAACTTTCAAGCAAGTAGGACTTGATACAACCTTTGTACTCCATTGTGAAGCACAACACACTCAGTAAGGTATGAAGAGGATAACCTATAAGTAACTGGCTGAACCTTGTTTACATCTGCATCTTGGAATTCAGAAGGAAATTACCTATAAAATTATCTATAGCTAAATAAACTAAAGCAAAAACTGAACCAAAACAAAAACTATGCAAAATATAACTAACACTTTTCTTTAAATGTGGAAAATCATGATGTTTAGAGCTATAAATGGTCTCTAATGATGAATTTAGATAAACTTTAAACTATTTAATATTTCATATCCAAAACTTGGCAAAGGTTTGACACATTTGTGACTTTCTGAGTAGCTTGGGAGTGAGGGAAACTCACTTGCCAAATGCAATTTCATAAATATTCAGATGGTGGGTGATTATAGTAAATATGGAGAAATATGCAACACATTATTATCCTTCTCAATCAAATATGCAAAGTAGTGTTTTCATTCATTGTATTGCATAAAGAAGTCCAACATACCAAAATGATTCCTATAAAAGATTCATGCGTAAAGTTTGAAAAGTAAATTTGATTAAAACCAAAACTTAACTCATGTGATCCGTTGAAAAAAAGTTGCTTTAAATATAACATAGAGAAAATATTCAAATATTAAGCTGCTCTGAGTGTTTTGGTTTAATTGCCTCATTTGCATTCTGCTTAGGTATTCAATTGATCGTCATACTGACCTCGACAGGTTTTTCACGATTAATCCAGAAGATGGTTTTATTAAAACTACGAAACCTCTAGATAGGGAAGAAACTGCCTGGCTCAACATCACTGTCTTTGCAGCAGAAATTCGTAAGTATTCTCCTAAGGGCTTTGATTTGACTTTACTAAATATTAATCCTTCTGTCTCTTGTCTATAAAATGAAATTGCTGAGGATTGCAATTGTTATGTTTTAGAATTTTCCTTCCTTTTAATGAAAATGGATTTTTTCATAAATAATATAGGTTTCATTTTCCCCTCCATCTCCTCCTCACAGTTCCTTTGGGATCCACTCCCACTTTGTCTCTCATTAGAAAATGAATAGGCTTCTAAAATATAATAATAAAAAATAAAATAAAATAAATGTAGTAATGTGAAACAAAACTAAAACATCTGAATTGGACAAAATAGACCAACAGAAATACAGCCCATGAGAAGCCACAAGAATCATATACCTACTCATTCACACACTCAGGAATCACCCCAAAACTCATTCACACACTCAGGAATCCCCCCAAAACACTGCACTAATCTTAAAGTCAGTCATCCTATATATATATAGAGGAGCTGGTGCAGGCCTTGTGCATGCTGCCTCCATCTTTGTGAATCCGTATGAATTTTGATCATATTGATCTAGAGGGCCTTGGTGTGTGTGTGTGTGTGTGTGTGTGTGTGTGTGTGTGTGTGTGTATGAATGTGTGTCTTCCAACTCCTCTAGCACTTAAACTGCTCCTTCCTCTTCTCTTGCAGGGTTCCCTGAACCCTGAATAGATGGACTTGATTCAGACATCCCTTTCAGGAATGAGTCTACCAGGCTCTCTCAATCTCTGTATAATGCTTGGCTGTGGATCTCTGTATCTGTTCCCATCTGCTTCAGGAGGGATTGTCTCTGATGATGGCTGAGCAAGGCTCTGATCTATGCATGTAGCAGCATGACATTAGGAGTAGTTTTGTTGTTACATATTATATACTTATTTTTAAAAACAGTAGCATTTAGTTTTATGGTAAGTCCCTGGGCTTTTTTCCCCTTTTGGTCTTCAAATTTTAATTTTACTTACGTATCTAGAAAGATAATTAGTCAAGTGGAAACGTTTTCATTTTCTTTTGAAGACTTGCGTATACACTCAGAGGGGTGGCACATTAGTTAGGATTCTCTAGAGTATCAGAATTTACAGACTTAATCTCTCTCTCTCTCTCTCCCTCTCTCTCTCTCTCTCCATATATATAATATATATAGATAGAAAGATATATATATATATATATATATATATATATGAATGGATTCTATAGAGTGACTTACAGGCTGTGGGGTCCAGCTAACCCAACACTGACTGCGTATGAATGGAGAGGTTAATAATGTAGTAGTTGCAGTGTCCATGAGGCTGTATGTCTCAACTAGCCTCCATTATACACTAAATCATGAAGAAGTAGGTTCTAATGCCAGTGAAGGAACCAACTTGCTAGTGACAGTGACAGCAAACAGACAAAGAGAAAGAGCTTTGCTTCCATCTTCCATATCCTTTATTTAGGTCACCAGCAGAGGTGTGATCCAGGATAAAGGTACATCTTCTCACCACAAAAGATCTGAATGAAAGGTTCATCTTCCCATTTTAAAGATCTAGATTAAAAGTGTGTTTTTCTCTTTTCTAATGATTTAACTAAGAAAAACATCTCTCACAGCTGTACCCAGTTATTTGGATTTTAGTTAATTCCAGATATAGTCAACTTGTAAACCAAGGATAGCTATCAGAGATGGCTTATAGCCTCCAGCAATTTACAAAATATGGCTATCATGTTAAACTTCTTGCAATCAAGACTTGTGGCATTTCGCATAGTGACTAACTGGTAACTCTTGAACCTGATCATATGTCAAACTCTCTCAACCTACCCCATGGCTGCCCTATTATAGCAACGGTTCTTGGACTCATCAAGAACCATTCTTATCCTGCCTTTCTGTGTTTATAACCCCTGTGTGAATGAATTACGATTTGAAAAAAAAATAAATTATTAAAAAAAAAGAACCGTTCTTATTCAATAGATCTATACTAGAGGTGAATAATTTAGATGTACTGCAAATGACCAGGTGAATTTAATGCTGTTTCTGGGAGTCCACTTTGAGAATCATGATATTAAATTACTTACTAGCATGACCAGGTTGCATTAGCAATCTTTGGAATTATTCTCAACCAAAGTAGGAAAATGGTTCAATATTTTTCTGGTTTCTAAGTGACATTTATTCCTAAAATCCTTCCACCCAATTTTACATACTTCTGATCTGAGATAGCTTTGGGCCAACAATTCATGTGTTATTTTTTGTTGTTGTTGTTGATGTTGTTGGTTGCTTGTTTGTTTGTTTTGTTGTTTGTTTTGCTTTTGTTTTGTTTTGGTATTTTGTTGTTTGTTTTTGTTTTTATTCACCTAGCTTTGCAAGAAGTATCCAGGAGAATAACTTCAAAAGACCAGGGATTTAGTTGTGCACACAGATTCAGGGTTTCAACCCATGGTCAAACTTGCTCTATCCTTGAGGGACTGTAAGGAGGTCAAGCATCGAGGGAGGCAACATGCTACAAGGCAACAATGTTCATCTACTGGTAGACAGGAAGCATGTCCTGGAAGACAGGAAGCCCAGTGACTTCCTTTCTCTGACTTGGCTCTATTTCCTACTTTTCATTATTGTCACAATAATACCACAATATTGCAAAGCTTTCAATAGGTACTTAATTACACTAGAGTTCCCTGGATCTAATCACTTTCCAAAGTCCATGTACTAGAAACCAATCCTGAAAGACTCAAATGTGTCTGGATATTTCCTAGTCAACCATAGTAATGCCTCTCTTAGAAGTGCCCATATAGGTGGTTGAAGCTTGTTCACTCTGAGAATCAGCATGGACTATTACATTTTCTTACTTGGTATTTGTTAACTGTCTGAATTCACTTTCCCCAGACAACAGACATCAGGAAGCCAAAGTCCCAGTGGCCATCAGGGTCCTGGATGTCAATGACAATGCTCCTAAGTTTGCTGCCCCTTATGAAGGCTTTATCTGTGAGAGCGATCACCCCAAGCCACTCTCGAACCAGGTAAGGCTGGCTTCTCCTGTCCTGACCATAAGTAATGAATTTGAAATCGAGCTTGTTTATTTTAATATTCAAGTCGTATTACCTCCTCCTGTCCATGAAATTTCATGTGTCAGTCCTACTTTTATGAAATGTTAAAAATCAGTCTGCTAAGAAATTCTGGATAAATAATGTTCTAATAGCATCATCCTTTATTTATGAGCTATCTTTCTCTTTCAGCCAATAGTTACAGTTAGTGCAGATGACCAGGACGACACAGCCAATGGACCAAGATTTATCTTCAGCCTACCCCCTGAAATCATTCACAACCCAAATTTCACAGTAAGAGATAACAGAGGTTTGTACCATAGTTCCTATAAATTCATAGATGCAGAGATGGAAAACAAATGCCTTTTATATTCCACAGCACAAATATTTTCACTAATCTAATAATTCCTTCCTGTTGGAGAATAAACAAGGAATAATAATGCCACTTCCGTTTTGACACATGGACTCATTTGATACATATGAATAAGTGAATCTAATTTTATTTTCCTCATTTTTTTTTCACATTAGCTTTGATATTCATGAAGCAGCAGGAAAACCAAGTGGGGAAGCTTACAGGGTCAATATGCAAACAACTCCATTTATCTAATTTTTAAAAAAGATTGATAAACCCTTCGGGGGAAGCATGGCTTTATGAATATTGATATCAAGTAAAGCATTAAAAGAGATTAGTTCAACTTTGTAAGGCAGCATAATCTTTCACACACAGGCCTTCCCTTCAAAACATAGTTGCTGTGCATGGTGGCTGGGAACAGAACTCCAGATTCAAAAGGGCTGACATGGGTATTGCTGGAAGAGGTTAAAGTAAAGCACTGTTTGTCCATTACAAACAACAACAACAACAACAACAACAACAACAACAACAGAACCATATTCAATGCAGTTCTTGACCTCATTCTGTCAGTCAGTAAGGTAAAGGAGAGGGTTTGACTGTATAGACCTAAAGTGACACAATCCTGGGACAAAATTAGAGGCAGAGCCCAGGAAAAAAGAATAAGCAATTGTTTTGACTTGCAGACTAGTCTGTTATGCTCTGAGCATTTCTTCTTAGTGGAGATTGTGATAATGTCAGCCTATGAAATTGACACAACCAATGCCATCATCCAAGGTGGGAATCAGGGAGACCTTGTTGATATAGGTGTTTGAGTAGCTGCACGTTTTCTATGTATTATGTAGGGCTGTTGCTTTCATCGTGACTGAGAAAAGACTTAAACCAGAGATTGTAAACTAATGTAATGATCACAGTTACTACCCATCACTGTATACTTCAGTACCATAATGGCAGTCATCATGATCGAAGCACTGTGTTTAAATTCTTCCCCTAGTCTGGTCACTCAGTTTTCACTACACCACAGTCATGTCATTCCCATTTCACAGGTGAGGAAAATGAAGCACAAAACATTTACATAATTGGCCTAAAGTTGGCCATCAAAATAGATTGTAGAGCTGAGTTTTAAGTCATGTGGTCAAGTTTGGTGTTACTGCTTTAACTTCTTCCTGCTGATATTGTAATGGAGCGATATCCTTTATGTTACTGGGGTCTGGAGGCAAAGTGATCTGGAATATTCAATATTTTGTGAAGTGACTAGAATCTTTAATTATTGGTCTCATAAGTTAAAGATATATCAATATGAGTCACTTAGGGGAAATACCCTAGGGGCTTTTCTCTCTCAATATATTGCTTTCTCAGACAAAACAAGGCATATCATCTTGAACACATGTATTTTAATGGTTCCTTACAGTAAACCCTGGGTTCACTTTAGAAATGACTCATAATTTCAAAATAGCATCATTACTTTGCATTCTTCATTTTTGTCCTTAACCTAGATTTTTTTCGACACTCTTGGCTTTATGTGCAGGAGTAAATTCTTTTAAGAAATAATTGGCCTGAGACCTAAGACACAGGTCTATAGTCCAAACCCCCTACCCCCTCATCCTGCACTCTGTAGGCCCAGGCAGAAAGATTGCAAATTCAAAGATTTGCTGAACTAAAGAATGGGTTCAAGGAACGCTTACACAACTTAGTAAGAACCTATCTCAAAAATAAAATGAACTAAATGGGCTTTGATATGTAGCTGCCTCTTAGAGTCTTTCCATGGTATGCAAGAGCCATAAGTTCAAAGGTTTAGTCCACAGTAAATGAGATGGGAACAAGGCAGGGAGAAGGGAGGAAGAAAGAGAGACAGAGAGAAAGAGAGGGAGATAGACAGAGACACAAAGAGAGATAGAAACAGAGAGAAAGAGATATTTTGATTTTGCCAAAAACACTAGGGTAGACAAGAATTCTCAGGTAGGGACATTTAAGTTTCATTGGCCTTAGAGTAACATAAAACTCATTTTTGTTATGGTGTTTTTCCAGTACAGAGGGACTGGAGTGCAGATGAGGATAAATGCGCACTCACTTAAGGCTAGAAGGGTATACATAGAGATTTGATAAAGCTTTCTGGGATGTCTGCATGTCTGTATTTTAACACAAGAGATTCCCCATCTTTGCTGCTAGCAGTTCCCTTCTTTCCAAACTAGTTTCCAATACTACTTTGTGTCAGCTGCTGGCTTCGTTTTTTTGCATTTACAGTGGTAACATCAGTTCTGACTTACTTTTGTCAGCAGTGAGGCAACCTGATGATCAGTTGTCCAGGAAACTCTGGGGGGAATCTCACAGGCCTGTTATGTCCAGGCTGCTTTTATGGTCTCCTTTCTCTAATATTTGTGCTCATATTTTTATCTCTGTGTTGTTTCATAATCCTCAAATTACATTGGAATTCTAATGCCTTGCTGTAATCTCAGGAAGATCTGTATTTACAGTATGCCTCCTGAAAGCAGCAGGCTGTTCTCGGCTTTATTCAGTGTGCCAGCGGAGTTATCCTTGTCACCTGCTCAGTTCTATTTATTTATTTATTTTTTGTAATGTGAAATCATATTTTGTCTTCATTAACCTCTGTGAACACTGTTCTGTGCATATTGTTCTCTGGAGGTTTATGAGTATTTTCTTTTACCTCGGTACTTCATAGATGCCGTCTATAATTTCATAGAGATTATATTACCACCACTGAGCCAGCCACCCATGCCATCCTTCTCTCCTACCCTCTCTTTTAGGAGACTAATCCTACCATCAAGCTATACTTTTGCAGAGAATTGCTACTTTTTAAGAAAAATTACTTTATTAACTATGGCAAGCAGTTAATGAAAACTCCCATGTTTAGTGCTATTACAAAACCTCAAAGCAAATACAGTCCTATAATTATCATTTAATAGAGTTTCTTTCTGCTGCCTTCTAAAAGTAATTACACATTGAAGTAATCCAAAAGGAATAATCACATTCCATAGCCTATTAATAGCCTAGAATTTCTCGGCAGAGACTATTTTCCAGAGAAAACACAAGATAATGGTTTAGAGCATGCTGAGTAAAAGTATCAAGTTCCTTTCTCCTTGAGTGTTTACTTCTATTATGCCATGTAGTGTCACCATTGTGTTTGCTAAATGTTGTCCTAAGCATCTTTAGACATCTAAAGACATCTAAGAGGGGACGCGTCTTAATAGAGATCAGCCTCTTATTTCATTTCGTCTTATTCCATCCTAAAGTTTCAGCTTCAAAGCTGGATCAGCAGGTATCAAGAAAGTAGAATACCTGACGGCTCTTCAACATGTAAGTCCATCCTCAGCCAGTAATAGCAGAATGGAGTTGTTTGAGGTTTTTGAGATGCATTTACTTTGAAAACAGCAGACTTATAACATCTCTAAACACACAAGGAATGCATAATGGATAATAAAAGTACAAGGTTGGAAAAGACAGGAAATGATCCCTCTCGTCGAGCCAGCTTTTTGAACCAATTTCATTCATTTTTTTAAAGAGCTCCTAAGGATGCATCTTTAGTCACAATTTCAAATGAGGCAAAAACATGAATTGACAAAAAACGTTGATCTATCCAAGGCCATATACCCTGTCACTAATGAAATAAAGTGTAAATATTTGGAAGTTATTGCTCAGTGCATATAATATGCTAGAAATGACATAGAACACCATAATATTTTGCAGTTATTGCAGTTCTATCTTTGTTTACTCCATAGTTAAAGAAGAACCATTCTTAGAGAGGACACGATGTGCAGATTTGTTCATCAGTCTAGGAATCAGAAAATGCATGAAAAGAAAAACGAAAAATGGTTTCATTTCCGTTTCAATCATAGTCATAATAATTGTAGTTAAATATATTTGCAAAGAATTTTATGATCTTCTGTTGTTGCACAATTAATACACATACCTTGTAGGAAAGTTAGAAAATACAGACAGTAGAAATTGGATTAAATAGAACATAAATAACATGACAGTGCATTCTCATAAATACTGTTGTTTTATAGTCTCTTCTAGCTGTTTATTTTTCTTCTGATTTTTAAATAAAAATCAACTTAAACAATTCACCTCTTTTCCACTCAGTAAGTGATATACATTGGTCTGTACCAGAACCCTGTTGGCAATGCCCTGTAACTATGATCCTGTTCACTAAAGGACAACATTTGGCTATTGTTTTTAAATTCATTGCTTTTGCACAACTTTACCATTTATGTGATTAACTCTTTTAGGATGAATTCTTAGAACAACTTGAATAGATCAAATTCTCTCTCTCTCTCTCTCTCTCTCTCTCTCTCTCTCTCTCTGTCTCTCTCTGTCTCTCTCTCTCTCTCTCCCTCTTTCCCTCTTTTGCCAGTTTGTTATTAATTTTTTTTACGAAAAATAGAGTTTTTTCATGTAATATACTTTGACTTATCGCAATATACAAACTGTCCATTGGGAATGTTTCATTGATTTCTGAAAACATCAGGAAAATCACTTCTGTCTGGCTTTCTCATATTAAACTCACCTAACCATATTTTTAGTCACTAATTGACAAATAAAATAGGAATACTATTTCACAATTCTCGATCTTTTCATCTTTTTCAAAATTTAAATACATTTTCATCATTCCTTGTTTTTACTCTTTTCAAATGGAATTTTTAAATTTTTATTTTTGTCTATGTACGTGAAGCAGTCAGGTAAGTGCGTGGAAGTTCTTTTGCTACAGAGAGCAGAGATATGTTGTCCTGCTAGAGCTAAAGTGACAAGTGGTTGTCAACTGCCTGATGTGGGTGCTGAGAGTCCAATTCGGCCCTCTGCAAGAGCAGTACATACTGCATTGCTGAGTCATCGATCGAGCCTATTGCTTTATTCATAGAAGGTGGCTGTTCCTATTCCTTTCCTATGCCTTAAATAAGAAACACAAATTTTACTGTTGAGTTTAAAAATCTCACCTGCTGGGA